CCCCAAAACCCCAAAACCCCAAAACCCCGGAGTTAGAAATTACAATTGGATTAAATTAAAGTATTGTAATAATTAAAGATGAGCATGCGATCATTTGAAATCTCTGTTATGCAGGAAGAGACAGTGAAGAAACCTAATGATTTAGTAATTGGTAAGCCAGGTTGGTTATTTCTTTAGGTATTATAGTTGCAGTGATTGTTTTGGGAGGATCAGCTTCGATTTTACCTTTGGTCGATGAATATAAGGAAGTCGGTGTTTTTTTGAGGACCATTTGGAGGTGGCAGTTGTTGGTCATTTATTGTTTTCCATGAAGTTTGTATTATTTTTATCTGAAGAGGGATGACATGGATGTGAGGAAGATATTTACGGTAGGGACTTGTGTTGAGTTTTTGGCATCAGCAATCCTGTGGACTATAGCATCAGTTCTATTTGTATGGAGCTCTGAGTATACTCTTGTGTCTCATTCAGGTTTATTAGGAAATCTTGGAGGAGTGTTCATTGTGTTTCTTAATTTTGTGAGATGACTTCCAGTCCATCGATTAGAGATTATTGGAGCAATTGTTATGATAATTTTTGCAATCATTTTTGTCAATGATAATTCTTCTACTAAAACCAATGGTCATACAAATATTCTTTTTGGAGATATTATATCATTGTGCTCTGCTCCCTTGTATGGAATTTATTATATGGTCAGTGCAAGATTGCTTCAGAAGCTCCCATCGATGGTAATACTTCAAGTAAGCTTTACCATACAGCTTATTATGAACTTGATTTTCTATATCTGCTTCATGGATACTGAAAATTTTTATTCATTCGACCCTCATTTCGGATTCTTCGGCTGGGCATCAGATACTTATTTGGTGTACTCACTTGTCTTTGTTGGAACATTTACAGGCTTAGTTGGTGTAGGAGGCTATGTTTTTATTCTAAACTTCTTTCCTCCACATATAGTTGGAAGTATTTTATTATAATGGAGCCGGTGCTCGCCCAAATTCTAGGATGCATACTCGGCCAAGACAATATGCCTGGCTTCATCACATATCTTGGCTGCTTTGGAATAACTGTAGGACTGGGAATCTCAATAAAAGGAGACCTTGAGAAATCAAAGAAACAGATCAAAAACAGCGACCAAAAATGTCAAACAAGTAAACTTGACGAGGAGAAGCCTCTGCATTCCTCCCTCATCCTCTCTCCAGAAGGCATCCAATAGCCTAAATCCCATTGATCTCACATAAAACCTTGCCAAATTCTGTCTCTATCCCCTACATTCAGCCTTTACATCCTAAATCTCACCTAAAACAGTCATTGTCCTTCTTCCACCCATCCTTGGACGCCTTGGCTGGACTGGATTCGGGCTGACTCCTTCGCCTTCGTATTGGTGGATTTGGCTGGTTGTAGGTATTTATTAGGATCTTATTCATTTAAGTGAGCTAAGGGGTTTTGGGGTTTTGGGGTTTTGGGGTTTTGGGG